CCTGAGTTCCTTATTGTTGTATATGATGCTTGTAACTTAATTTTTACTGTACTGAGTTGTATATACTCACTCCTTATTATTTACAGATAAAGTAGGGATGGAGTCGGGACTGGAGTTGCTGATTTCCGAGCCTCGCGGATAGAGGAACAAGTAATAATACTTTCGTTATTTGGCATGATTGAGTGTGTAATAACTAATAGTATGATAGATAGTGTGTCTGCTGGGAATATGTGAGATTATTTTTCATTGCGATATTACATGTATGGTTGCAGGTTTATTGTGACCGTAGAATTAGAATGGCGCGTTTATACGTGGCCGTAGAATTGTCTTAACTTGCACCATTAAAAAAAAAAAAAACAGAACGTTACAAATAGTGAGATAATTAGTAATTTTAAAAGTTTGACTATATTTTAACTATGATTTATAAGTATATTAACTATTATTTGTTATTATCTACTTCTAATATCACATCAATTTAGTGACAGTAAATAAAGACTTCAAATATAAGTTGCATCATATTAATATAATATAATACGTATATTATATTTGAATAATTTCGTCTCTAAAAAATTGTTTGATACTCTTCATTATGGAAACAAAGTTTATTTATATTGTTTGATTTGTATATAATATAACTACCCAAATGGTACTTGTTCTCCAACTTTGAAATTTCTGTTTTGAATTGAAAGAATCAACAGATACTCCATAAATATTATATATGTGTGTATATATATATATATATAATTAAATATTTAAGAATAAGTTCCTCATATGAATAAAATATAAATAGTATTTTAAAATGTCTGAGCAAGAAGCTTCTATAAAGGCTTGGTCATAAAAGCACCACACCCAAATACTAGCATGAAAAAGGGGGAACAATTCCACATATGTACAAAGTGGAGTTGTCAATTGTATAGTAAGCCCACAAAAATATTACAATAAAGGTATTTAATTTTTGGATTTAATTATATATAATCAAATTATAAATTTTATTTTTAAATAATATTATATAGAATATATTTGTAAATTCACTTTTGAAAAATATGATAAATTAATAACTTTGACATATATTATTTTAATTCTACATTAAATATTATACAAAACTAATTTATTTTGAGAAGGAATTTCACATATTTTAATCGAATTAACATTGATTTTTGTTTAAATTATTTTGGAATTTAATTTCATATACAACACATTAGTTGTTTATTAAATTAGAGATGCTCTTTTGTATTTTTTCTCTTTACAAATAATTATCGAAAAAATTATTATATTTAATTCTCAACTAAATATCACGTATTATTAAAAATTTATTCTTAATATGTTAATCTACATCGCCATAGGGATACAGTTTGAGGATTAGTAAGCCAAACACCTTGATACACGAGCAAACCTTGGTGCTTGGCCTCCACTTATGTTGACGATTATTCAATCGTGTATTCTTCACAACCAAGCTCCATATATATTTTTAAAAAATCATCAGAAAACATAACTTACGATTATTTTTATTCTCTCGTCGTTCTAAATTAAATTATATTTATCATGCCCTACTTACTTAATTAGAAAATAACGAATTTATACAAAGAAATCACAGTACTCACTAAATCTCTTATATATTAAGAAATATTATACTATATAATGCAATAAAAATAATATGTATATGATAAGATTTCAACACTTAATTACTAAGAGTTGTAGAGAAAAAAAAGGGACTTTAGGTATTTAAACGAGTTTAAAGATTTTAAAAATACGATTGGTACACTTTAAAATTAATTTTTATAAATATTTAAAATAATTAAATAATATTAATACAATTCATATATAATTTTATAACACATATAATAACTTAAAATTTAATTTTTTAATATAAATTTATATATTTTATTAATCAAATTACGTATTGTAGGTTACAATAATACAATTTTATATTTTGATCGAAGAATAGTACTAACTTAACTTGGGTTAAATAATATATATATATATATATATATAGAATAATGGGAAATGAATAATAAAATAAGGCACCATGGTGGAACGGTGAGGAGTTTAGCAGCTAAAAATCAATACGATGATGGATTAGGAAGCTCGAACAAGATTTAGTTAGAAAAGGAACAAGAGCGGCGAGTGTGAAACTGGAACCTCACTCGTTGGCTACCTTGACCGCGTGGGATTTCTGTTTTTAGTATTTGAAATAAATTTTTAAAAAAATAAATAAATCCACAAAAGACAACACACTTTTTAAGTTTTGTAGTACTTGCGCTGCACGTTTGTCCCGCTTCCATGCGTACTTATCTATGATCTGTCTGCTTGCTTTCTCACTTTCATACCATAAAACACACTCTGCTTAAGTAATCCCACTCCAGTACCCACGCGCGTCTCTTCCGCGTGCAATCATCTCCCTGACTGTCTTTTATCTCCCGACAAATAAGGGAATTTTATTTATATTTATTTATAGTCAATAAAAATTAATTACAATTTAAAGAAATAAATTATTATTATTTTTTTTTGAAAAAAAAAAAGAAGGTAATATTGACTGACATTTATGTGTTCAATGATACACTGAATCCACCTAACTCCGTATGTAACTGATGACACATTGCTCTTATCAACGTTTGAAAACTTCCAAGAAATTTCCCTTTATAATTTCACATTCTGGATTGAATTAGGCTCTGGGATGCACGCGCTAGTTTGCGGATGGGGTTTAACCACTCATAATAGTATTAGATTCTAGAGTAGTCAAGAGCATTAGGAAAATTCCCACTACCCGCTTGTGACGACTCATCTCGGGTCTGATCAGCTACGCGGTGACGCAAATGTGGCGAAACCGGCGGCCATAGCAGCTTACCCTTCACTTTTCATTTAATTACAAAAAGACCACTCAGCCGCTCTTGTTTTCTTAACGCAGAAGAAACAAGGGTAAAACCGACATACCACCTGCGTCAGTTACAAGTCACGCTTAGCCACTTGTCTTCTATAAATACAACTGCGAAATCTTAACGTGTCTTCATCAGTTCCGTTGTATTATTTTCAGGAGTGACCTTGTAAAGCAAATTTCAGAAGTACCAAAAGAAAAAAAAAAAAAAAAAGGTTTACATTAATTTTTTACGTTACAGTTCTAGTATCAATCCATATATAGATATATATATCGGAGAAGAGAGATGGCCATGGAGATCGAGAGATCAGAAGCCCAGAACATTGACATGGCAAACTGCCTGATGTTGCTATCGAAAGTGGGAAAGAACGACGGTGTTTTCACCCTCGGAAAGCCAACCCAAAACGGTCGCGTTTTTACATGCAAGACATGCAACCGGGAATTCCCCTCGTTTCAAGCATTGGGCGGTCACCGGGCAAGCCACAAGAAGCCGCAGCTGGACCAGACGACCCAGTTGCCGGTTTCGCCTAAGAAGCCGAAGACGCACGAGTGCTCGATCTGTGGGCTGGAGTTCGCGATCGGCCAAGCACTTGGGGGACACATGAGGCGGCATAGAGGCGGAGGCCACTCCGGCAATAGTGAGAGTTCGTCGTCGGAAACGAAGAGATCGGCGGTGGTGATGGGGCCGGCGACGTTGACGATGAAGAAGACGAGTAAGATTAAGAGGGTGTTCGGTTTAGACCTGAACCTGACGCCGTTGGAGAATGATTGCTTGAGGTTGGGTTTGGGGAAGGTGGCAACGACGTCGCATCATCATGTGGTTGATTGTTTTATGTAGACAGGGGTTTTTGGTTTGGTTGTTTGTATTTGCCGGCCAACGTTACTAGAGTTGGAATTCGTGACCAGATTTATTTATTCATTTATTGGCATATAGTTTTAGGAAATATTTTTAATATTATATTAATTTAAATTTAATTTTTGTTAATATTTCTCAGAGTAAATTAAATAGTAAAATCGAGCAATCCGGTACATGAGAGTGCACGTTCTTATAAGATGTCAATGCATAAAATTATATCGTTTTAATATATTCTTTAGTCTATGTACCAAAACAAAATTAAAATTTATTTGTAGTATTTATTGGTAATTGGAAATAATAAATGCTTTAACAAAATACTAACAATATATTTAAATTTTTCTCAATTTTAATTGAATTTAATTTTGCGTGAAAACAGGCGAGCTTAATTGATTATTGAATTTCTTTTATAGAATTTGTTAATTATAAATTTAGTTATGTTTCCACATTGTGACCAAGAAAAAAGGGGATGGAGATTTTCAATATAATGAAATTATTTAGGTGACCCATCAAATAATTCTTATATGCAATAATGAATATTTTCTGATGAAAAGAAAAAAAAAATGGTATACTAGTAATGCAAGTTATATGTACAAGACACGTGAAAAAAATCATAAAAATAGTGTATTATTAATTAATTAGTCGCGCATTATTTTTCTACTGATTATAAAAGTCTAAAATTTTTATTATTAAAAAATATATATATATATATATATATACACAATATTTAATTTTTAAAATCAAGTTATTAATTTTTTAATTATTCTAAATGAACTAACTTTAAAATATATTATCATAAATGTCATAAGTTAATTGCATGATTATCGTGCTAATTAAAATTATAAAGAATTAAGCTAAATATTAAATAAAATATATTTACATCAATTGACTTTAGAAATATAGAGTGTAATTTGGAGTGTTGGTTTCGACCCGTTAGACTTTAATATTTTTCTTAATGGGTAAGATTTTAGAAAAGGATATTAATTTATGTGGGAGCTATATTATTAATTAAATAATATTATTGCCGTATAATATGTATATTATTAATTAATTTATATATTTAATATATAAGTTAAATAAATTGCTGGTTTAAAAAAATATAAATTTAATTTTAGCAATTGAAAAATTACGTACGAAATTAAAAATGAGTGATATCTCAAAAATATCATTTACATAATTAAATACGTAAATAATATCTTAATTATTTTTTGAGATAATTAATATATGAGATGAGATAAAATCAATGGTGGCTCGAATTTAATTTTAACTTAAACATAAAATTTATGTTAAATTTAAATTATATATTTTTTATACTCATTGCTGGTTGAAGTATAATTTCACCATGAAGATAAATTTGAAAATAACTACACTGATCACGAAAACTTTTGTATCACAAGTCATACACGTTGACTAAGAAAAACAAAAAATAGAAATTTGACTAATTAATACACATTGAACACATGATGGATATAGTACAAGATACATATTATGATAAAACATAATTTATTTAATGATAAATTATTAAATTAATTTATAAATTTTGATATTTGTTATAGTTTGATTAATAATACTTTTTTTTTTATTTTCTATGTATTTTAAATATTAAATTTAGTATTACAAAAAGTTGAAGTAGTTAACTATGTAACAACCCGGAACTTAAAATGAAATAAATTACAAATTGAATGCGAAAGCGAAATAATAAAGTTTGAGTTTACATTTCTTACACCATAATTTAGAATATGTAATAAGGCTACGTGAATGATTTTTCTAAAAGAACAAGCGAAAAATTAAGAAATAAATGAAAAGTAAACAATTAAGTATCATAGGACGACCTTCACTAGCATTTGAAGAGAGTCCGGGTGGTGAACTATTCACAACCCCTTTGTTGATCGAGAACTGGATATTGATCTTCTTTATATAAAATGTTTAATAAAAGAGTGAGTTACATTAATCCAGTAAGAATCTCACAGTACTCCCCGATACAGAAATGAAGGTTAGTAAAAATTATAAAAATAACTAATAGAGCTCTTAAATTTAGTAAATTAATTTATCATAAATAAACTCATTTATTGCATACTTACCGTAGCGAGATTTTTAAAACCAACCTATAGAGACAATAGTTCAACAACATCATAATCTCATATATAAGAAAGTAAGAATAACAACTTTTCATTTTTATCTACCTACTAGTACCTATGGAAATCCATAAGAATGTCCCACTACGCGTAAACCAACATTCAACTTTGTCAACTAATTAGCCGTCCTCATATCACGTCCGGTATGAGCGCCAAAATACTATCCCTCAAAACCCCGTCTGGTATGAGGGTGAAAGAGGCCGTATCTATACCTCGTATGGTATGAGCACCAAAATATCAATCATCGATACCCCGTCCGGTATGAGGGTAAAACGGACCGTCCACATATCTCGTCTGATATGAGCGCCAAAAATACCAATTCTAGATACCCTATCCAGTATGAGCGCCAAAAATACCAATTATCGATACCTTGTCCGGTATGAGGCGACGTTTAATGTAGGGTTCCCTATGCATCCGGTCCGTCTACCATCTCTCAGGATATCCAGTAAGACTATCATTTATTCATTCACTTAATTAATCAATTTTTCATTTACATTTAATTTTTAGTCTCACAATTTAACTGTAAATCACGCAAGATAAACAATACATACATCAAGGAAACATAACTAAATCATCTTAACAATTTCAGTGTATTATCATGCATTTAGAACTGTAAAATCAAACAATCAGTTAAAACAGGACAAACAGTAATAAATAACCGGTTCCGGCTCCATTAGTAATCTGTAATTAATTATCGAAGTTTTTTAAATTACGCAAAATACTGTATCACTTATAATTAGACTTCAATTCTATAACAAAGAATAAGGTGAGATATTCTTACTCAAATCGGTGTTTGAAATACTGAACTGCGCCTATTGACGGTTCTCGAGTTTCTTGAATTTTCCTACATAAATTAAAATACACTTCATGTACCAAAAAATACATCAAAAAACTCAAAATTGGTGTTAAAACTATTTTTCGACCAATTTTGAAATTCCGACACGGCGGCACCGTCGTGCTCAAGTGACAACACCGTCCCCTGCAGTGGCTATTTACCTCAGACTAACCGTTTTCAGCCGGTTTTATATCCATCACTGCGAGAAAATATGTTAAAGGGTCTTAGTTGACCGAAAAAAGTCAAAAAATAAAAACTTACCGACCGCGAAATTTTTCAGTGCGGCAGCTCCGCCGGCTCACCTTTGCAGCTGGGTATTTTTCTTCAGTCAACTTGTAGAAAATAGAATGATGAACACAATGGTGAAAAAATTGCACGAAACGGGAAACAGGAAGGGGCTCATCGGAGACGATTTTTAATTTTTCTTGCGGCGGCGGCTCCGAGTTTTAATTGCGGTTTCCAGTTCATCTGTCATTCTTTTTACTCTGATTTGGCCATGAGGGTGTTCAAAATCAAATTCCGAGCGAATATAAGAATTTTTACATTTTTTGGCAGTCAGAGGTGGCTCCGGCGCGGCGACGGGCAGCGGTCGACTCCCTTTTCTGGCGATTGGTTCTTCTTTTCCAGCGGAAGGCTGGCGGCTAGGTTAGGGTTTGGTGTGAAATGAGATATTTATACCTGTTTTTCTTAAATTTGAGTCATTCATCGTATTTGATCTCGACCGTCCGATTACGTTTAATCGCGACTGTCCGATCGCGCCTGAGGAGGGAACAGATCCAGACTGTCCACGCGTGCGGGAATGCATCCGGACCGTCTGATCACGGGCACGCGGATTGTCAGCGTGGCCTCCCGCGTGGCATCGAGTCAGTGTGCCTTGCCATGCGATACGTTCCGGTTCGTCGAGATTACTAACTAGGTAGTCCTGCGTGGCACAATTTTCTTTAATTGAAGTTTTGACCTCCAGTTTTTTATTTTTTTTTTAAAAATACTTTTCGAACCTAAATTTTCACTCATTTTTCTCAAAATTATTTTTAATTTCATCATCCACCTATTTTTTTCTTAATTTTACATTAAATAAAAATTTATAAATTTAAAAATTATATTTTTATATATTTATTTTTATTTTTATTTTTTTTTAAATTAATCTCGGGTTAAATCTCGAACCCGGGTATTATAAACTCATTTATGGATATTTAAAAAAAAATAATTTAAGAATAAATTTTATTAATTGGTTAAATTATTAAATTATATTTTTTTATTATTAATTTAATAAATTATTTAAAATATTTAAATATAAATTAACTATTTTAATTTTTTCAATTAAAAAATAAAATATTTAAAATAAATAAAAAATATTAAAAATTAAATTATATAATTATGATAAATACCAATTTTAGAGAATAAAAAATTAAAAAGAGAACATGGTTTCGTTCATAAGCCGAAGGGCATAATAGAAAGGAGTGAAAATTTTCTATTACGAACATTGAAGATATGTATATAATTCAAGAGTTAGAGATTATGACGTTCCCAGTACAACAAAAAAACAAAAGACTTTTGGAAGTACATTTGTCAAATTGTGATTGGAAGAAAATTTGTTTGACTCCTTTGAACTTTGTCCACCTGTCTCCTGCCACGTTCTGTAGTGTAGAGAATGCACGTTACACCATCCGTTGCTGATTATCTTTCCTCGAAACATAAAATGGCGAAAATACCCCTCACGTAATTGTACAACAGAATCAACGGTTAAGATTTATCTTCTGACTAACACGTGTACTGTAAACATAACAGTAACAACATCTCTCATCATGGAGTTGTAGCCTATTTTCCATATTCCTTTCACGAGAAAAAATCGAGTGCTCCTCGCACACCATATCATCTCATCTCTCTCTCTCTCTATGTTTCTCTAACCGTTTTATGCACCTGAATTTCCGCTGCGGCGTCTGTTCACCGGAGGATTAGTTTCGCACTGGCTGGAGATCAACCGTCCGGTTCGGTTTCAAGTTTCTGTTGAAGGTACGGATCGCGAAATCTTTGTCCGTTAAATTTTTTTTGTTTGTTGATCTTGAAAACAGCTCCAATTTTGTTCTCTTTTTTCCTTTAGATGTTAAATTTGAAGTGATTTATGTCAGTAATGTCCTTTAATGTGCAGAAATTTTGCGTTCGTTTTGGGTATATGTGTTGATGATGAAGAAAGGTTTCAGGTTTGTGTTTCTTACGGAAGAAGTTTGATAATTTTTTTGTTTTGTAGTTTCCACTCGCGTGAGCTCAGGACATGAAGTTTTGTCGCAGAGTAATTATTTTTACGTTTTGAAATTTTGGTCTCAGTACATAGGTAGTTCGTTGAAGGAGAACATAACATATTGTAATTGTGTGGGGGAGTGAAGCGACCACGAAAGGAGAAAGTGGAATTGCGAGGAATTGCTTTCACTTGAAGTGGAAGAAAAAACTAAATGGTAGTTGCTAGATTCTGATTCTTATTGAAGCTTTTTATCGTAACTCTGTTTTTTTCCCTTTTCTTTTGGGGATATTATGCGTGTGCTACTTTAACTTCTTATCTTTTTGTAGTTTACTTCTGACTGATCAGTCTTTTCATTTTAGTACTAGTTTATTACTCTTAATAAAAGAGCTCATTTCAGTCCCTTAGTTGGTTTTGAATGTTGACTGAGACTCCAGTATCAAGAAATGAAAATATGACTTCTTTGAGAGTAATTACCGATGTTTTTAGAGATTTTATTACTTGAAAAATAAATAGTGGTTCAAGTGAAAACTGTGGAGGATATAAGATAGATGAGGCTACTATGAAAAGAAAGTATTTCAATTCTTTTGTGAACGCCATCTAATTTTTTTTGTATATATCAAATGAAGTGCGAAGGCTTGAGATGTTGGCTCTCTTTTGGATGCCTAACAATTCCTTTGCCAGCTTAAGTAGATGGAATCTTTAAACATCACTTTAGGGATAGATATTTAGATAACGTTCAGCCAAAATGAATATGTGGGAAGTACAAGAACGATTGTTCAGATAGAATTGTATATTTTGTACTTGGAAGACACTCTGGAGCAAATGGGTTCTTCAATTCTGCCTCTGCTCTGCTGCATTTGATAACTGCCTCCCTTTCTTTTTTGAATAAAAAAGGTGTAGCTAGTTCATTCATTATCTAGACTTATTGTTTTTTGGGATTGAGGTTTTGCAACTCACATCTTTCAATTGCTGTTGATGACAGAAAAATGGTGATTTTGATTCTCGTGGAATGTTGTTTTTGTACTTTTTTTTTCTGAAAAAATATAAGTTTCAGCCAGTTGTATCTGACAGCATTGGAATCATTTAACAATTTGGTGGTTTCTGTATTTTTTGTTTTGTATTTTTGAGCAAATATGTCATTTCAAAGTTCATTCTGGCTGAGATACAAAGAACTTAACTTGTTGGCTAAGCAAGCATATTTCCAGTTAGTGGTAGGTCCAAGTCTATAACCTTAACACTGTCCCCTCTGCCAGATAAAAAAGGTTTATCTTTACTGGATGCTACTTGTTCTTTCAATAGGAAGTTATATGGTCACGATGGTCCTTTTCCATTTTGTATTTGCTTATTTACTGGTCTAATAGACTCTGTAAACGATGAAGAGTATGCATTGAGACAGATGGCAGCAATAATGTGTTTGCTAATTAAAGCTTGTTGTTATTTGTCAACAGTATCTTACATCTTTAGGTTCATTTTCCTCTCTTTATCCAAAGTTGAGTGTATACCACATTGAGAACATTATTATTATGAATGCTGACTGACTTCTTGCTAGAATCTGCTTAGAATTAGCATACTTGGAGATGCTTCTTGCCTGTCACTTGATACGAAGCTTGCTTCTTCTCATTATGGTTTTTTTGCAGCTTGGTGCTTTCACCTTACTTTTTATTTTGCCCTTTCAACAGGACCTCCCTTCGTGTTAATTGTTTTTCTTACTGCTTATTAGTTTCATCCTTTACCAGCATTTGGTCCAGTATTTCTATTTATTGTTCACCACATATTCAATTGTTAGAATAAAATATTATTCAGTGAATCCTGCACTTCTGTGTAAAACTACGTAAATAAAAACTTTACAGTGATTCTTTTTTATCTCAGTCATTTCAGAAGAAGGGTTTTTGGATGGTGAAGAACTCCGGACATGTAATTGGTGGAGATACAGGATTTGATAATTCTTCCAGGATTGAACCAAAGCGTGCTCATCAGTGGTTTGATGGCAGTGAACCAGAGATGTTCCCTAATAAGAAGCAAGCAGTGCAAGTTCCAGTTGGAAAATCAAGTGCAGGAATATCTAATGCAAATATTCCTTCATGGGAAAATGCATCTGGTTTCAATTCAGCTCCAAATCAATTCATTGACCGACTGTTTGGATCTGAAACAGCAAGGTCTGTGAATTTTGGTGAAAAGAACACTTCTCCAGTTGGAAGAGACAATGCAAGACAAAAGAGTATTCAGGAAGATGCATCTGCTGCTTTGTCAATATATGATGCAATGGAAGATCCTGAAAACTGTTTTCCATATGATGGAATTAGAAAAGTAAAAGTTAATCAGGTTAAGGACAACGACAGCGAGCATGCTTCAAAGGAGTACAATTTTAATTCAGAAAATACTGGTGAAGTTACTGCAGATCAGGCCTATTGCAGGGAAAACGAAAGTAATTTTATATCCATGGGGCAACTCTACAATAAGGAGGGTAATGGTGTCACAGTCACAGGACATTCCTACAGCAGCGGGGAGGATGCAAATATTATTTCATTTGGTAACTTTCATGATGAGCACAGTATTAGCCCTGTGGCTGCCCAACCCCTCAGCACCTATGAGTCATCGTACATTCAGCATTCAACTCAAACATCTGAAACAGCCTGTGAGAAAGAGTTGGAGGCATCATGTGCCAATCCAATTGCAACCGTATCTCGCATAGCTAAACCTAGACAAGAATTCCATTCCAAGAGTAAACAAGAGATTAAAACATCAAAAAAGGAAGCTCCAAATAGTTTTCCCTCAAATGTCAGAAGCTTGATATCAACGGGAATGCTTGATGGGGTTCCTGTGAAGTATGTTTCTTTGTCACGTGAGGTAAATTTTGCATTTCTTCTCAGATCTATCTAAATCTTCTGTTGGCAGTTGGCATTGCTATTCAATGACAGGCTATCTCTCTGTATGTACTCAGGAGCTTCGTGGAATTATAAAAGGTTCTGGCTATCTTTGCGGGTGTCAGTTATGCAATTTCTCTAAGGTAATTCAGTCAACGATCTCTAACATACTATTTTCTTCCCGTCAAACTATTAAGTTCTAAGACCTAGTTATTCAATTCTTTTGGTTGCCTGAGGTGCTCAATGCATATGAGTTTGAACGTCATGCTGGTTGCAAGACAAAACATCCCAACAATCATATTTACTTTGAGAATGGAAAGACCATCTATCAGATAGTACAGGAATTGAGGAGTACCCCTGAGAGCATGTTGTTTGACGTGATTCAGACTGTGTTTGGTGCACCAATCAACCAGAAATCTTTTCGCATTTGGAAGGGTAAAACAATCTATCTTATTTCTTTTTTCTTTCTTTTTTTTTTTATTCGTATTCCTTTTTCCTGACCTTCATAGCCCGTGTGCAATCACATCTCATTGCCTGAAGAACAAAGATTTTCCGTAACAGAAACTTTTTGGGAAAATAGCTATAAGTCGAAAAAGAAAAAAAAAATTTCTTTGATATTTTGTAAAAATTTATTTTCTTTATACTTGTGATGAATTATTGCTGTACTCGGTTCTTTTCTCATTCAATTTTTAGTTGTAAGTTTTCTATTAGTCTTATTATGCACAATTACAATGTAATTTATTGTGTTTGAATTATGCATGATAAGATTGATATGAAATTAATAAATAGGAGTAGGAACTTAACGAGAATCAAACCAATTGCAACTCTTATTTTTTTGTATAGACATGCGAATTTATAAGTGAAAACTGAAAAACATTTTTACCCATCTGAATCTTTTTTCCCCTCTCTTTTCTTCTTAAGAAAAAACTTTGTAAGCATCTCTACTCTGATCTGCCATTTAATGGTTCCTGTTTCATTTTTCGGTACCATCCCTACCAGAGTCGTTTCAAGCTGCTACTCGAGAGCTTCAGAGGATTTATGGAAAGGAAGAACTGAACTTGTAAATTTGCCGCGCTGATCTGATGTAGAGTTTCGTATAATGAAGTGTAGGTTGCCATTTGGAAATATTAGGTGAAATGATATTTTCGCTGTGATAATGTATAACTAATTTATGTGAGAGTCTCGACTGGTGTTTGTCCTTGCTGGAGAATAGATGCGCTTGTAGAGGGATTAGATAGGTGGTAGTTAAAGAATGCAAGGCAAGCCAGCTCGTGTGTTTGAAAATGTGTTTCCTTTTTTTTGTACAGTTTTATTCTATGTGGCTTGGATTTGTTGCATTGCAAACCTTGCGATTTGTTCAAGTTAAATTTATGATTTTCCTGTGATACTTGTGTATGATGTAGGTCTTTTATAAATTAAAGAAGATTCTTATTTCTATTTCAACTAATTTCTCTCTTTAATATGATCAAAAGTAAGTTATATATGTTTAAGCTAGGCGCGTCTTAGATGAGAACAGAGTTTAGATTTTTTTTTTTTTTTGGAACGATGAAGTGCAGCACAGAAGACTTTTCCTTTTTGTCAATAATCTTTGGCATGAGGTTGACCCTGAACTAAAAGTTATTTTGTTGGATTAATGCACAATGTGAGCGGTAATTCTTCCTCGCCTTTAAGATGATTACTGATTTTCAGCACCACTAAAGGAGAAATTCATAGTTTTATAATTGGGAGATAAATTTTATTAAGAAAAATGTAAAAAAAAAATTAAATTAAATTCATTAATAAAAACAATTTGTTTTTTCATGTAATTGGTATCCGGCACAAGTAAATGCATTTTGGAATAAAGCATCAAACATTATATAGACTTATTGAAATTATAGCTCTTCTACATCCTTATTTCTAGTTTCCCAAATGCTTAAAACTCTTTTGCAATTGTAATTTTCAAATATAAAATTGAATTTATTAAAATCATTCACACACAGAACCAAACTTGTTTGTTCATTGCCGTGGCTTGCGTATTGATGTTCCTAAGACCCAAACTTCTAAGCCATGGGGAGGTTTTGTAAGCGTTGGGGATATTTACAGATTCTAGAGCTAGAAACACCTATCAAGTTTCCAAAATACATAATTTAAGGGCATTAATAATGTACTACATCACTGGAGATTAGTGTCTATTGCAAAACATTACCAAAAAGGACCAAAAGAATACTGAAAAAAGAAATGAAAACAGATTATTAAATCTTTAAAAAGCCAAAAAAAAAAAAAAAAAACCCACCTCTAAATGTTTTTCTACATTAAAAAAAAAAAAGGCTTAGACAAGGAGAGCAACCCATATCTCATCTCATGCAAAGGAATTAAGATTCTCACACTATGAAACTCTCAATAATTAAAAACACTACCTCTTTTACACACTAAATGAAACTTGCAAAGAATGACATCAGAAAAATTACAACCACCCATCATCCTAAGGCAACACAAATACTCTCTTTTCTTTCTTTTTCTTTTCCCTGTTTTTACCTTTCTCAAATAGAAGCATCGACAGTCAGCACATGTTACTTTTAAGAACCACAGCAAGCTGATCTTTGTGCAGCTTGGCCAGCTCCACCCGCCTGGTCCGGTTGGTTAATCTTGATAGTTGACGGCTGCAATCATGGAAATAGTACTTTTAACAACTGAGGGCAAACTACTGATTAAAAATCTCTTCACACCCTCTTGTTAAATTGGAGTTCCCACCCTGACCTAATTTGAAATAGGTTAAAGAATTCCATTACCTCAAACTTTGAGTCAGTATCGGCAAGCCTTTGCTTTATGTCCCTTGCTATTGAAAAGAAAACCTGCTCCACATTTAGATTTGTCTTTGCACTCTGCAGTAAGCAGTGTAATACAATGAGTAACAATACCTATTTGATGAGTTCCAACTCCCAAGATCTATCAAGCATAAACTTTACCGTTTCAAAAAACTTAATTCCATACTCATCAGCTAGTGCTTGACCCTTAGATGTAGGCACAGCCTGAAAAAATAATTTATCAACGGGTATGGTAAGAACAGGAATCACAAGAGAGAGAAAGAGAGAGAGGTGGCCTAATTGTTGTTTCTTCTCTGCCAAGATGAGTAAGTGCAATAAAATAAAGATCATAAATTTCTAAATTGGATCTTGAGGTGGCATAATAACATTATCTTCAATGTAACGTACCCTTTTGCTCTCGTCCATGTCAGCCTTGTTCCCTACCAAAATCTTGTTAACATTATCTGAAGCATGCTGTTCAATGTTGCGAATCCAATTCCTAATGTCTGGAAGTGATGTGAAATATGTAAGGTAAAAGAAAAAAGACAAGGGGTAGAGAGAAGGAAATGCAATTATTTGTTCGCTTGCGCTGAGAGAAGTAAATTGAGAAAAGAAAAGAGGTGAATAGATACCCCATATACTTTCTTTTTTTTAAATAGATACCCCATATGCTTGAACAACCATCTCAAATTTCAATTGATGAAAGGGAACAGAGAATTACTGTTGAAAGATGACTCATCAGTAACATCATAGACCAGCAAAATGCCCATGGCCCCACGATAATAAGCTGCAAACAGAAAAGAAGAATTATAAATAATTCAACCCCAAATCGAGATTGAAAAATAAGTGCGGTAATGCAAAACAAAGAAATCACTTCACAAAAACATTACTAAATGAAGTGCGAACAACATTAAATAAGCTTGACATAGAGCCTATATATGGTCTGATGAGACTATCCTAAATATTCAATAAGCTTGACCGTTTCACATAAATGGTCCACCATGCAGGCACAATAATAACTGAGAGATGCCAAAGGTCCAGTTCCCCGGGAAACCTCTTTAAGATGTATTCTGAGTTAGGCAGAAGATAAACAGGAAAGAATCCAACCCAAAGCCAATACATTAGCCACCAACCACCACCAGTTTCAACCTTTATGCCATGTCCGCCTCTCTTAGGCAAGATACTGTTAGCTCATAGCGTTGACACCTCAGTAATGTGACTTTAAAAGGTAGAACAAAATGCAGCAGCCATTTATCCTTGTGATATTCAAGAAAAGGCATAGCATTGGTTACCATCAAATACCCTTTAGTTTGGGGAGTTGGCTTTCAGTCATGAGAATGTACATACTCCTACTTGACTACTTGTCCATGGCATCAAATCCTTTGCCAACCGGGTATAGAGCAGGCTTCATTCCAGCCCTAGCCTACTAGGTAACTAGACTTTGAAATATGTCCAACCATGTTATACATGGTTTTAAATCTCCTGTCATACTTACATGCAGAGGAAGCAATATGTTAAATAGTCCTCTCGGCTAGCATGTCTTACCCTAAATCTAAAGTTTCTCTTCCCATTGATCATCTTAGTTCTTCCAACCAGATATATTCTCATAGCTCTTTTGTATGCGTGACAATTGCTCAAATAATTCCTATCAGATCAGTTTGTTTCAGTTGGGTGTCCAACATGGATTATGGATGTGTGACAAAATAACGGACTGATTTACTTTCGACATACATGAGTCAGAACTAAGGATATTCTAATGCTAGCTGCATCGAATGAAAACACTTACCCGTGGTGATTGTTCGGAATCGCTCCTGGCCAGCTGTATCCCAAATTTGGAGCTTGATCCGCTTGCCATCAAGCTCAATGGTTCTTATTTTAAAATCAATGCTGCAAAAGGGTAAGCAACCTTATGATGATAGATATTTCTTCAACAAGGAGAAACATAATAGTTCTTTACGTGATTCCTCTGTTCAGATAATACAAACCCAATGGTAGTAATAAAACTAGTGGTGAAGGAGCCATCTGAGAAGCGTAAAAGAAGGCAACTCTTACCCACACCTGCGAACGTGAACAGAGGTAAACAGTCAACTCCCCCAATTGAAACCTCATGGGTTGCATTATATTTAGAAACTGCTGACATGAAAATCTACTAGAAGATAGATGTTTGGTTCAGAAAATTTCGAAAAAACAATGAAATAGTCCAAAACATTCGATAAACAATTCACAACTAAATAATGGTAAATTCATGGCTAATCCTTCTCCAGTACTAGCAAATTACTGTTTGAAGATCTGGAGATTCAGTAAGAACATCATGTGGAGCAGGGGGGGGCGCTACAAGGGTGTTAAAACAACTATGCTGTAAGCAGAAGTATAAAGCCAGTAAGTAGACAAGATTTTTTTTTTTTGAAAAAAAAAAAAATACTTTAGAAGGATTTACAGAGTTTCTCAGCTTTGGTGGAAACAGAAGGTGTAAGTGTGCAAGTATTACAACCTTTCAGGAAATTCCTTATTGGTAATTTAATGGTACAACAATGAATAAACAACTGCATAATAGCGGCTTCTTATTTGGAAGAAAATGAACTTTATCTAGTAGAAAATTATCTTTGGCAGGGCATAACCTGCATACTGGAGATCAACCCATTCCGTCCACCAAAAGTCCCTGGCCATTATTAGGCCAGGGTGGGCACCCCGAATGAAGAAAAGAACTTATAACTAAAGATACTGTTTCTCTTTGGATCCTTATATATAATGGTTGTTCATCATAATTCTGACAATGCAATGAAATGTAGAAAAATGTATGTCATTTAGATGAAATTGGAAGGTTCAGCCTAAGAGCCACACAATCAACATGAAAAGAGAAGTTCAAAGTTCAGGAAAAAGGCTTATACAGATGAAATTGACAGTATCTTTTATCTACAATTTTGGCTTTCTTGCTACCAACAGTAATTGAACTATTAGGCAATAAAGCTAATTAATCACAAAGGAAAAAGATTTCACTCTGAAAATTGAGCAAAAACCAATAGCTTCCATAAGAAATAGCACAAAAGTCCAATTTTGTGACGCTCAATGCATTTCCTCTGAAATACCAGTATATAAATCTGAAGTACCATGTACATGCAGAGAACATAAAATAAGGATATCAAGATTGAAACATACAATTCTGAAAATATAAGTTATTTGTTTCTACCAATAAATGCACAAAAATGCTTCCCATTGCTTGGCCATCAAACTTTGAGATATTTAGCGTTGGAATTAACGTAGGCTACGTAAATAAACAGAACAAATAAAAATCCAAAGCAACTGAAACCTAGATAGGACAAAATAAATCAAATACCAAACTCCTCAACTCAGCTTACACAAATACAATCAACATTTCTCAAATCTACTTAGCAAACTTCAACAGATGCTCGAATGCAATCTATACATAGATCCGAGTGATCCCCCATGAACCACGAAAAGAAACAAAGAAAAGAAAACAAAAGCTACGGAAAACGTACCACTATCGCCGATCAATAGGAGCTTTATGAGGTAATCGTAATCGGCTCTAGCCCTCGTAGGTGGAGCAGCCATCGAATTCGAAACTCAAGAGCAAAATCACTACTGGATCTGCCCACGGAAAAAAAAAAAGGAAAGAAAACAAAACAAAACAACAAACTAAAACAAGTCAGAATATTATACCGCAATTAATCCGCGCGTTTATATGATGAAACAAGAAGGAGCTAAAAGGAAATAAGAGAAATTATCACAAACGCGTACCAGATCAGAAACAATAGTGTTAGAGATGAAGATATATGGGTCTTCAAGAGCTCAAAAGTTGAAGGCCATGGCACGCCAGAGGTAGAGGTAGAGGTAGAGGTAGTTGTTTGTTTCGTTCCTTCTTAACTAATTTTCTTTTTTAACCAAAATGGAGAAAAAGCTCACCACCTACAAAACCTCCTCCGATTCTAGTGGTGGGTGGCTAAATGGCGCACACTCGCTTTTTAGTCTCCCTATTTTCACCTCTTCTTCTCCTCCTCCTCCTCCTCCTCCAACTGTAGCACGCCGATCACCCGCTGCGCACGTTAGCAACCTTGCACCACGAAATTTTCACACGCAGAAGGAAAGAGAGACCGAAAAGCTAACGCATAAATCACCTAATAAGCAGAAACAGGAACCAATGGGATTAGAAGAATCTACAAGAGTGGCATTAGGTTGGCATGCCACGTGTCAACTTTTTAGTAGTGGAACGACGATGGCTCAATGTAGGTGAGCTGTAGGAGAACAAGAACCGGGATGATGAGCTGGCAGCCCAATCATCAGCAATCAGACGCCTTGAATTGAGTGTGTGAGACAAGGGAAAATCAGCTGTCTCCATACCCACCCGCGGCATTGGTTTTGATTTGGTACAGCTACGATACAGGTCCAGCTTGTCGATTGATATAACAGTGGTCGTCGATTCAATTATTTGCATTATCCGACACCCAGGAAAAAGAGCGGGCCCGCATTTGACAAAACGACTGCGTTTCAAAAAGTAATACTGGTAAGATTCTCTCTTTCACAATATTTTGGTTACTTTTGTTTTTTAAAAATATTTCTATGTCATAATTATTTTAATTTAAATAGGTTTTATATATACCCATGATTTGATTTGCATGATTGCTATTTTTTAATCTAAGTAAAAGAGATAAGTATAATTATATTGTGATTTTGGAGTTACTTTTTTATTAATCATAATTTTGTTTTCCAAATTTTAATTTATCAGATTATTTTTGTGCAATGAAATTTAATATTTTCCTTATCTAATTAATGATCCATAATCTATACCAGAATTAGACAAATTATAAGAAGAAAAATTAAGGAGATAATATAATTAAATTATTAATTACAACATAGAATCATCGTAATAATACAAAATTATTATTGTTAAACATGAAACTGATCAATACACTTTCAACATTAAAATAATATATCATTAAATTCTATATTTTTTTACAATAAATTTTTTTATAAAAATTTTTATTGTCTACTTTTACATAATATTTTTTAAGAAAAAAATTGTATTAAATTTTTAATTTATTATAATTAATTTTACTAAGTGAATCTAATAACTATAACATATTTATTTCATCTAAAAATATATTAAACTAGTTGAAAGTTAATTTAATTTTATCGTTACAATCTACTAATATATTAATAAATTAAATTTTCAATGACGATTCATTAAGAGCGTTTAAAGTATAACAGATCAAATAAGTTTAATACACAAACAGTATAAAATTAAATAAAAATTATATTTTTAAATTCACTTAGGATTCAAAATAAGTTTGAATCTGTATGATATAATTACGAATTGAATTCAGATTTCACAAAAGTAATGTTTTGATTACTATCTTTAAATATAAGTTCACCATTTTAAAAATTGTACCTTTATCTATTTTTGACAAACCAAAAAATAAGTTTGCCATTACAAAATTAAAGTGTGACTAATAAAAATATATTAGTTAATAACTAAATTTATATATTAAAAAACTTAAAAGTTTAAATTTAAAAATAAAATTAAACTAGAATAATTTCAACCAGTCCGTGCCTGACAAGAATTTAATTTGCAGGGTTATCGTCAAGTTTATTTAGATCTATTGATACTTGAGAAAAAGACAATATAGTCCAAAAAAAATTATATATATACAGTGATGTGTCATAACGTGACAGAAAGTTGCTAATGCAAATTGCCAGAAACCAAAAAGGCCTCGAGCTATAACTTACACAACCCACGTTCTCTATTATAATCATAAAAATTTCAAAAGTAGAAGAAAAAAAACATTAAAAGGAAGAATGGACCTTATTGCCTCAAAGCATATGCTTGGAAGATCCTCTTCCCACAAACTCTTAAACCTTTATTTTTCTCTTCTTTAAAACCCAAGAAACCTCTACTCTTTAAATTCCTCTCTTCTCCATTTCAACATCCATGGCTTCCATCTAGGTGTTAAATTGCAAGTCTCCCCACGTGCTATATCATAAAGATGGCAACCTACGTTCACGGCGGAGATGAAATCAATCGTGGCGATGGTGGTGGTGGTGGTGGCGGTATGTGATTTTATTTTAAGTTGCAGCCATTGAAGGCTTTTCGGGCTGTTAAGTTGATCAATTTGGGCAACTAAATTATCCTTTGGCAGTTTCATCTAGAATGAGAATATCTATGGCAAACACAGGCAAATTACATTCCGGTTAAGTTATTTTTGTAGGAAAGAGGAAAGTACTGTGTGTTTTGATATGTTCTGTTTTTATTCCTCTGGGACTTAAAAAATGTATTGCTTGTGTTACATACATTAATTTCCTTGGATTTTTTTACCATCTACGTTCTAAGTTTTGTTTCACCAATTATGTTACTTTCTTATACACCACATATATCCACCGTTGGAAATATTATTAATGAATTATGATGCCATAAAAAGCAACTGAGTTTTTTTTTTTTTTTTCTTCTCCACTGACTGATATTATTGGGCCGAGCTGGATTTGTGTTATTGATGTTCCGACTACTATCGCACTGGTTAATAACTATATAAATTTGAGTAATTATCATTGTAAAATGCAGTGTCGTTTGTTAAATATGAGCCTCCAGTCTCTAATCACATCTAAACCTGCGAGTGCAACTACAGTGCCTACAATGCAATTTAACATTTCTTACGATGATGTAATTTTTGTATAGTACTTATTTAGCATTATAGAACAATCAAATAATTATATAATATCAAGTGATTATTGCTCAAAATTAAATAAATCATGCGGCCATACTTCAGCTTATTACTCAAAATCCTATGCTCTGGTAAGGTAAAGATGCCGAAAGTATTTTTATTTTTCTTTTGTATCGTAGTCTCTTTTTTGGGAGACCTCGGCTAGCATTTTTCAGTATGATGAAAATCACTAGCCTAAGTCATAAGCCGTCTTGATGTTCAAGGAAGTCTGTGGGGCGTAGGTACTATATGAGAAAATATCGTGATTCGTAAGGAAGTTCCATCAAGTCACCTTAACGATGGTTGAAGTTTGCACAACTACAAAGCACTGATCATGAAACTTTCTGGTCCCGAGAATTATGTTTATATTGATATAATTACATACAAACTTTATGGTAGTTCAAGTTTCCAAATCAAGAAATAGTGAAAGAATCCCAAGCAGGATAGCTCAGTGGCGTTACCTTTCCATGACGCTCTCTTTAAGGGACAGTATCCCTGTTTCGGGGCCTGCAAGGGACAAGCAAAAGAAAAGGCAACAGCAAAAGAGCCCCTGTCATAATACAAATGCAAGGGCATCATGGGTCGAAAGTATTGCATTTTGAACTAATCCTAAAAAGGGACGGTACTGTGGTACCGTGGAAAAATCATTATCTCAACAAATTTTCTAAAATTTAATAATAATTTACTAATTCTATTTACCAATAAGCAATTAAATAATTCCTCAATATTAAGAAACTACTACAATAAGATATCAAAACAGATTAGCTCATGGACATGACTCCGAATCGCATACAATTTCCCATAAAATGGAGATAATAAACATTAGAGGTGCATAACCCAACTACAAAACAAGCATGATTTCTTATCATAAATTGTCTAAGATTGGACTCAAATCAAAATCACCTCCATGAAGTTCACCGAGAATAACCATCTGACTAGATGTAAATGGCTAACAAGGAGAGGCAACGTTAAATCTCAAATATCAGTGAAGCATTATAGTTCAAGTAAATCAATGGCCAACGATTGAAGATCCAGAAACTACAAATCTGAAACTTGCATTAGAAATAATATCAAATCATAAACAAATTGTAAAAAATATCCCAAAATCAGAAATATAGCATTGGTACCAAATATTAGGAAGGGAAAACTGCTTAGCAGTCAGCAGTAAGCAAAAATTCCCGTCCAAAAAGGAAAACAAGCATTTCAAGATGGCTGAAATCAATAAAAGAAACCAAGTACTTTGCCACCAACATTCTTCCTCCTAGCTTCTTCGTGATCCATGATGCCAGCAGATGTAGTGAGCACAATATACCCAAACTGCATATCGTCATAGCAGTCGTCATGAACAAATAAATGTATAAAATTAAGCTTCTGACTATCTAAGATAAAAAAAAAAAAAAACTTATCTAGTAACCTAGAGAACCAAGAGGCTCAGAAGTAGCATAAGCGATCACGCAAAAACCTTATAGAAGCATGGACAACTATACACTCGGAATGTCTTTCAATCATGAACTATACCTAGTAACTAGTTCCAGCACATCTCCCACTAACTTACATCAGTTCAAAACTTTCAAGACTAACTAAACTTTCCAGACTACAATCCAGTCTCTAAAGTTCTTGATTAACAGGCAAAATTCAAGTAGCCAAGTCTTGGCTCAGAAGTAGCATAAGTGATCATGCAAAAACCTTATAGAAGCATGGACAACTATACACTCAGAATGTCTTTCAAACATGAACTATACCTAGTAACTAGTTCCAGCACTTCTCCTACCAACTTACATCAGTTCAAAACTTTCAAGACTAACTAAACTTTCCAGACTACAATTCAGTCTCTAAAGTTCTTGATTAACAGGCAAAATTCAAGTAGCCAAGAGTACTAACATGAACTTATAACCAATCTAAGTGTAAGTGTTTTGTTAAACATTTATCTTAAAGATTGTACAATCCTGAGTCTAAAGCCCAGAGTAACAGGAAAAATTCAAGCTTAGCTACTGAATGAATTTACGACAAGCTGAGTATTTTGGTATGCATACGCTCTCCAATTATAATGGAAAACACATGGGTCTGCAAACATCCCAGCAAAAACCTCCAGAAAATCTAAAACTTCAAATTGATTATACATGAATGGGGAACCAGAAGATGCCAAAAATCAAATTTTCACTCTTTTTTTTTATCTCCTACCATAAAAGTAATCCTCTTATCAGTATTGCATCAGAAAATTAACTAAGAGAAAGTTGACATCACCAACCTGTCTTGAAGGAAGCAACCTAGCAGTCCAGCCTTCAATCTCCTTGACCCCAACATCAAAACGAGGACTAATCACCCCACACTTGTTCAATCTTCCATTCAATTCAACAACGATCTTTCCAGCTCTGTGATCATCAACATACTCAAACTCTCCAATGTAACCTGGAATGCCCAATCATTAAGGAGAAAAAACTCATGAATCAGAACTTAATTAATATTACAACCAAAAAAAAACAGAAAACTAAAAGAATATAAATTTTCAAACCATGCTTCTGCATAACCAAAAGAAACTTGATGATCACTTTTGAGGATGGCCTGATCATGACCTGCCTCTTGCCCCTCTTCTCTGCATTATACATGCTCTTAAGAGCATCATTCAAGACGCTAATCCTCACCATTTTTCCAAGTATAAGCTGCCAATAATTTTACACAAAACAAAGAGCTGGTCATGAAACCAAAAGAGTCAATGATGAAACATAATTAAGAAAATAAATAAATAAATGAGCACTGAAAATGTCCTTTACATTGCATGCAACCGTTGAAGCAGATATTGATGCAATTCTTAAGGTGACTTACATCTCACTTAAAAACAATATCACATTTCAATGGATGAACAAATGCATATAAATATATCTGCACGTAAAAGCAATTAACCACAAGTTCAAACATATAGAAAAAAACTACATTATTTATAAAGTGAAAACCAAATTTATGAAAACAGAAAAATAAACATGTCTCTGCATCAAACATGAACAAAATAAACACTAACAATATCCCCAGCTGTCTTTCAGCAATCACAAAAGCCACAACCCAAGTATACCAACAACCTACAGTTTATACCATTGGGCACTAAAACAAACAGTCAGATAAAGATAATTAAACTCGGTAATATTTATAATCCAAATTCTACGCAGAACATCCTAACATTCACAATCATCTATTATCGCTCCCTACATATCCCTGCACACATAATAGATACAGCTGAATATTTAAATATGTATATACATATATAACCATGGTTTTAACATCGACGACGCATTAGATTGAGCAGCGACAGTATCTGATTAAATTATTGAATTCAGTTTCCCGAATGATCCTAATGTTTTATTGAAACTCTAATTTACACCAACCGTTTATACACCTATGCATATATTTATATCGACCGTAGCCATGCTTTCACAGTAAGTGCGCACTACATGGCAAACTCCATGAGCACACGGAAACTTCAAAGTTAATCTTAGACGGCTAATCTGAAGCAGCATTTAGTAGAGCACATACCTATACGCATATGGTGATGTAGACCAAATTAGTAATATATAAAGGACTACCAAAGCGCTTGATGATTTTTACCTGGGAACAACAATGGCGACTGCGGCAACCTCTGGAGCTTGGTGAGAGTTTAGAGCAGATACCTAAAAGAGAGAGAGAATTAGGGTTTTGGATTCTTGTAGGATGATGTTTATTCCTTAGGGCTTCTTTTACAAAAATACCCACGCTTTGGGCCTTTCGGCTAGGTTACTGTGGTCCGGATTTAGAGCAACATCGTGGCCCAAAATATTTGGTGATAATTAGGTATATGTACACATTATGTGTGAGAGATGCTCGGAATTTTTTTATCTTTAATTCAAAACGTATATAATATATTAAAATAATAAAATTAATATTTTAATGCGATATATTAATATCATATTATATAGAAATTAATATGACATGTCAAATAATGTGTATATCGATTGCTATATTTACATAATATCATATGAAAATAAAGGTTCAATTATTTTATTCAATCATTAGTTATAATATTGTTAAGATATATAATACAAATTAATTATTATTGCATTGAATATATATTAGCATGTGACCATTTTTATCTGATTATTTCGATATATTAAAATTTTATTTGAAACATTTAATTATAAGATAAAGAATTGTTTTGTTATTTCTTAATAATTGAGAGCATATATGATTCCATTAGATGTAATAAATATACTATAATGATGTGGTTTTACGAAAGTTAAGTTAATTAAAATAGCTAGAATTTTAATAATTTTGACTATGGTATTTTTGTAGTATATTTTATTAATTATGGCTAATAATTTTTTTTATAAATAAAAAAAATTATAACTTATATGTTAGCTTTTTAAACGCTAACATAATGTTGTAACTAACGTAATAATATAGTGATTAAGATATTTATATTATATTTTAATATTATGAATTTGAATTTTGTAAATATAATATAACTCACAATTTAATAAGTGTATTATAAACCGATAATTGTTGATCTATAATATTTTATTTAGTATACCTAAATATTTAATTAATTAATATATTTATAGATATGCGATAATTAAATTTGGATAAATTTATTTAAATAAAATATATTTTTAGATAAATAGACATTTTATAATTATTATATTTTATTAATTAATATAATTACAACGAGTTAAAACGCTAACTTTATGTTTTTATTTTATTTAAAAAAAATACACACACTAATATAATGTTCGTTGAAGATTTATGAGCAAAAGTCCGAATGTTGGTGTAGAAAGTATTTTCATAAATGTTAAAATATTATAATTTATTATTTACGAGGGAGGTGTCAGTATTCAGGTTAGCTGATATGTGTTTTGTAATATTAAAATGTTTAATAAAATACTAACTATATAGAGTACGTGCAAATCAACAATACGATTAATATATTTTTTAGAAATACAACTAATAATTTTATTAATGTGCATCAAACATGGGGACTATATAATATTAGTCAAAGTATTTTCAAACATGAGGGATAATATTGGTGCATAAAATCTTACATGCAATGTAAGTTGAAGTTTATATTAATAGCGAGATACCAAACTTCTTTCAAAATAATGCATCATTTACAAATCAATTAAACTGTTGAATTCAAAATATTCATTATATAAACTAAAACAGTAAAAATATTAATATATTTTTATATTATTCTCCTTAAGAATTATTAAAAATTACGATAACTTTTGTTTATCTCCCGTTGGTATGTATATACATTCATATGTTATAATCATAAAAAAAAAAAAAAAAATTTAGTAAAATTAAAAAAAAATTATAATTCAAATTGTAAATAATCACTAAAAGTTTAATATGAAAATTAACAATGAGATATTATATATACTTTATAAGATGTTTTAAAATAACTATTAAATGACGTATTTTGACAAACTCAATATAGTAAATAAATCGCAAGCTAGCCCCTATATTGGTTGGGGGAAGAGGGCATTTCCATTGCAGAGGATTTAATCTAGCCACAGGTTCCCCTACGGCTACCTTGTTACGACTTCACCCCAGTCGATACCCCTCTTTTCGTTTCATGTCTTTGTTAGTAGTAATGTTCTTTTCATATACAATGGAAAGCCTGACTTTGATTCTATTTTTTTTATTCTAATCATTTTCGCATATGGTGGGGTTGTATAGTACGTGAGTACAAGATTATCTAAATGCTGCTAGTTTTTTGTTACTAAATCTTATTGTATGCAATTTACTTGGTATATTTAAAGCATATATAATTAATATAGCGATTATGATTATTTGTAGCTTTAAACTTATTAATCTCATAATATCGATCATGAATTGAATTTATAAGAAAAAAAAAATTATAATCAATTAATCTTATACTTAGTTCAAATTTTAATTAAATGAAGTATGATAAAATATAATATAAAAAATTAAATGAGGTAACATTATAATTTCAAGTCAGTTTGTTGTTTAATTCATGTTTAATATTTTTATAGTTATGAAATTAATACATAAATAAAATTAATTTAATAATATATTAAATATTTAAAGTATGATTAACGATTAAATATTAAATAATCAATAATACGGTAAATACAAACTAAAACAAAATAAAGATACGATATATTTAAATACTTTGTGGTTTGATTGTTTCCATTTCATGATAAGCATTTTATTTTTGCTAATTTAATACATGCGCTTCCATGGCTTATCATTTTTTACATCATATTATTAGTTTTTAGAGTTCATTGGCACACAAGTGTACTTATAAACAATTAAGTAATTAGAAGTTCAAAACCAAGAAATTAGAATTAGAAAAAGCTTACAAGAGCAAAATGTAAATAACAGAAAGACAAATGAAATGTAATGCATTGAAATAAAATCATAATAGTATTGTAAATTATTTTTAAATTAATACACTAATTATATTTAACATAAATAATTGAATATTAATTGTTATTACGAGATGTTAATTATACACAATATTTTTAATTCATTCCATCATATACAAATATGTTATAAACATAATAGTTATTATGTAACGCAAACTTATTTATAATGTATAATTGTTTAAATTAAATTTATTTATAGTTATGAAAAATAATTATAATTTATGGTTAGAGGGCCCTAAAATGGGATTACAACATTTTATAATTATTAATTTTATTATTAAGATGATTACAAATTACATATATAAAACATATTTTATGAAAAGATCAAAATATATTTTAATTAATAAAACTTTATCAATTTGTTATAAAATAATACATACATATAAAAAAATATACATTTCAACAAAACTAATATATGAGCTATTACAATCATTTAAAATTTGTTACAATTATTTTTTCATTTTAATTTTATAAAATAAAAAATAATATTAAAATTATAATGAGTTATTATTAATCGTAAATTATACATACTATAATGTGATCGGTAAATTGCATTTCAATTTTATTTAATAATTGAAGAATAACTATTCCATCAGACTATATTCCAGCGAACTAAAAGTGCGGTCAGTTTCTAAGAATCTCATTCTCAAATCTCAGCCGTCGATTTTGATGAACCCGTTGGATGTACCAAGGGCTCCACCAATGTCCAAGTCATCTATCCGTGTTACGCTTCTAACCCGCTAAAACCTAGACGAACAGAACCCCAGTCTCCAAACAATATCCACCGTTCATTAACGTACTACTATAAAGTAAATCTAACGGTTGAGTATATGACACGTCATCGATCCGGGTGATCGCAAACGATCCAGTAATATTTGTTTTTCATAATCTATAAAAACCCTAGTCGGTTATCAATTGAAGCATTCATCCTCTACTCACATCGTCCCCCTGTTCTCTTGAAAACCCCATTTCTCTCTCTACAAACCAAACCCTCGTTTACTTTCCCTTGAGCAAAGATGGCACCGAAGGCAGCAGAAAAGAAGCCAGCAGAGAAGAAACCAGCGGAGGAGAAGAAGGCCGTGGCTGAGAAAGCTCCGGCGGAGAAGAAGCCGAAGGCCGGCAAGAAGTTGCCAAAGGACGCCGGTGCCCCCGCTGACAAGAAGAAGAAGAGAGTCAAGAAGAGCACAGAGACTTACAAGATCTACATCTTCAAGGTTCTCAAGCAGGTCCATCCTGATATCGGGATCTCCAGTAAGGCCATGGGAATCATGAACAGCTTCATCAACGACATCTTCGAAAAGCTTGCACAGGAAGCCTCCAGACTCGCAAGGTACAACAAGAAGCCGACGATCACTTCTCGGGAGATCCAGACCGCAGTCAGGCTTGTCCTTCCCGGAGAACTCGCCAAGCACGCCGTCTCTGAGGGTACCAAGGCGGTGACCAAATTTACCAGCTCTTGAAGCGTTTGGTGGAGCGGCAGTTGCAGTTCGTGTCGGCGATGATTGCTATCTAGATTCTGTAGTTAGGATTAGGGTTTTAAATTTGTGTGGATTTTTTTAATTTTCTAATGTTTTTAATTCGAATTTTAGGGTTTGGTTTACAGGATGCTGATTTGGATCTCCTCGATCCTCTTGTCTATTGTAGAACAATGAAATGAAGGGAAAATTTCGCTATATTATCTGTAATTTCGTTTTTCAATCTATGTTTCGATCTGTAAGTTCATTGTTGTTGAGGGTGTTGGTGGGATAATTTGGTGTTGTTGAGGTGTTGGTGGGATAATTTGGTGTTGTTGAGGTGTTGTTTCCGCAATTTCCTCATTTTTGGGGTAAGACCGCACATTCAGCAATTGATGAAATCAAATTATCTTTCCTAAAGTTTTGAGATATTTATTGTGTTTTAATTTTCGTTTGATTTTCAAATTAGTTTGGCTTAAACTCGGCGCCCGAAAAAGTTACATGATTTTTGGATTAGCTTTTATTATTTTCAGTATAGTAAATAAAGTAGCAGTTACTGATCAGTTCTATTTCTTTAGGTCCTAATACAATCTAAGAAATTACATAATTTATAATCAAAATTAATTTCTGACATAATTTAATGGCGATTTGATTAGAAGTAAATGGCGGTGATGGTGATGCAACAAACGTGGTGCTGTAAGTGGGGCCTTTCAACATTAAACGCTGCCGTTTGGCCTTCCAGGTTTGTTCCGTTCTTCAACGCTGGAACCTTGAGAGTTTTCGACTCGAAATGGCCAAACGACTCGGCTCCCAACTTTTTGTTAGCAGTTCTCTCTCTCTCTCTCTCTCTCTCTCTCGTATGTACCGTTCTTCATTGTTTCTCTGCTAGAAGTGTTGATTCTGATTAAGTTCTCATGATATTTAGGATTATCATTCTACATAACGAATCAACAGCTGAAACAGTTGTTTTCTCCATTTGGAGTGGTTACGGAAGGTGATTTGAATCTTTCGTCTCCTTTTTTAGTCTTCAATTGTGTTTGGAATATTCTTAATTTTGAAAATTATAGAGTTTGTGCCCTATAAACTGTCTTTGTACACAGCGAGGCTGGTTATAGACCGGGAGACTCGAAGGCCTAAGGGGTTTGGTTTTGTGACATTTGAATCAGAGATTGATGCACAGAAGGCGCTGGAAGCCATGAATGGCAGGGTAATTCATTAGTTGTTATTCCATTTCCTTTTTCTTCTGGTTTGGATTTGAATCACGATTCATGCATTTGTTCTCACAATTTTATGTCCAATTTGAAGCTTGGATGTAATATGAGGAAAAACAAATTTGGGTTTGTTCAATTTTGATTGGATTATAGGAATGTTGGCAAGAGTAAGCATCAAATGGCTAAATAGGTGTTTTCTAGAATATGTTTTGTTTCCTGTTGGAATTTCAGCCGAGGTAGTTGTTTGAGTTCATTACTAATACCGGTCACTTACCTTTAGGTATTTGCTGATTTCAGATTACCATGCACGATAACAATATGATTCATTAAAACAATAAGAGAAACAATAGTTTATCTTTACCTGTATATTCTTCTTTATCTGCTCTCTGTATTTTCTTTTTTTGTCTCTCTTTTAGTGAGATCATTGTTTAAAAGCAAGTCTGAGGAAGAGTTTGGGGTCTAGAATAATACAAAAGCTCAAGATCCTGAGAAGATTGAAGAAGCCTAGAAAGAAGTTGTGGAATTGAAAAAAGCGCCGGTAGTATTAACATTAAATCAAGAAAGCACTTAGCAGGATTGAAGAATTCAGGATATTTAAAAAAAAAAAGGATTGAAGAATTCAGGCAAATGTTCATTAATGGGAAGAAATATCCAAATGGATAAGAGGTGATGAGTGGTGAAATAATGGTGATCATAAAAGGGAAGGACCGCACTGAAGGGAAGAAGACCAGTCCATTGAAGATTATAAATCTAATTTTCATGGTACCAGTTTGTAACGGTTATATTTGGGTGATGGCTGTGCTCAGGGATCCTAATTTCGATGTCCTAGATCTGGATGAGATGGTCTGATTGAGGTGGCTGTATGGAGCGGAAAGATTGTTCGATATTGTAAAAGCTTCTTCCGTGTAATCATCTGAAGGGAAGAAGAGCAGTACGGCGCAAATCATAATGTTCTTGGTACAGCCCTAATTTCAATTATAATGTGAAATATATGTTGGAGTAGGTATTTCTTGGGACTCTTAAGTTTGATTTCCTAGATTTGAATGGGATAGTATGAAAAGGTGCCTGCCATAGAGCCGAAAGATTTTCTGCTTCAATATACACAGAAGGAAAAACTCTAGGATAGTACAAGATGCTCATGAAAACTAAGCTACTGAGAGAGTGGCTGGTCAGTTAGAATCTTTTGGATTCTTGAATGGAAAGATTCTGGGAGATCTCATTCTTTGACCCCATGGTAGAACTCATAAATTTCAAACAAACAGATTCTTTACAAGATTAATTAAAACATTGGTGTGCTTTACTAAGTAGAGTTTCATTAGTGAATAGCAGCTTAGCTATTTTCTTATTGGTTTTAAAAACATGAATTACAAGCCCAGTAAGAGCACAACACCCAGTAAATTTAGAGTAAGAGTGAGCCTTTGCCAGATTACAAGGTGATGTATTGAAAACCATTTATCACCAAAACAGAGAGGTACATCCTCCCCACAGTTACCTAGCGCTCTATGAATATCGGCCACCTAATCCAGAGTTGCTAAGAGAAAGAACGCTGCAACAATAGATGATCTGGAGTCTTAGCAGCTCCTTTACGAAAATAACAATAATTTACCTCGATCTTCCCCTATTTTTGTAATATTGTCAACAGTGAGATACAATCTCTAATTAAAAACAATTCTAGGTGAAAAAATTAACTTCTAGATTTATTTCCTGAGGAAGAAGCAATTTTCAACCTGTCAGTGGGAAAGTACAGATTTATACTTAACCTGTTCATCTCGCCCCAGGGGATCCACCAACCAAGAGGATAGATATTCCATGAGCCAACATGTTCATCTCTCCCTAATCACTTAAATTCTGAATAAGGTCAACACTCCAAGCCACGTGGTTATTATCACAAGAGCAATATTTACTCACTCCTCATAGTTCCTTTCATGAAGCAAGAGCACTCCAACGTCGCACTAGATTTTTTGCCTCCCCATTTGTTCTGGTGAAAGAGAAAGATGGTACATGAAGAATACACATTGATTACTGAGAGTTAATTAAAAAAACTTTGAATGACAATTTTCCCACCCTGTTTATAGAAGACTAGATTAATTTGGTGGAGCCACAATATTTTTAAATCCAGTTACCATATAATATGAATGGAGAAGATCTACATAAGACAACATCCCTTTGGATTAACGTATGCAACTTCAACCTTCAACCTTCCAAGCTCTAATGAACAATGTAGTTAGATCATCATCAAGGAAATTTGTCATCATTTCCTTACAGTCGATCAATAGAGCAACATTGAGAACACCTAGCAAAGGTGCTTAAGAGCATTTCCTCTAAAATTACACATTATAGCAAAGGTGCTTGAAAGCCAATGTGTCCATGGTAACACAGGAGTTGGATATTTGGGATACAATATATCCCAATAAGGAGTGGAAACAGATCTAACGAATGTACAAGCGGTGAAGGGTTGGCCTAGATTGTACAAAGCAATCTAGAGGTTTTCTTACTTGACTGGTTACTATCTTTGAGGGTTGTGGAACAGTAGCAAAAATATTAGTAGAAATGCTGAAAATAAATGGGTTTACACGGATATACAATGACCTAATGGCTTTTGAGAGACTGAAGGAAGCAGTTATAAACTCCCTAATCCTATCAATAAGGAACACTTGTTAGCCTTTATCAATAAAGCGTCTTCTCCCAAGAATAATTTATTGTTAGTTTATAACAAGGAGTGAATAGCTGTTGCTTTTAAAGTGTCCAAATAACAATTATATTTGGTGGGAAGAGATATTACACAGAGTATGATAGCTTAAATTACCTATCGGACAATATGGTTACTTCTAGCCACTGAGATGGTTGTCAATACTAAATCGTGATCAGATTATGAGACATCCTATAAAAAGGAAGGAAAAATCTGACTATGGTTGTTTCTTCCGTCCAAACTCATTTCCTGGCAGAAATAAAACCACATGGTAATGGGATCAACTCTATGAGTGACATCTGATTAGCAAGGCAACACTGGACAGATGGGAAATTCACTTGGTACGTGGAAGAATGGCAATAAACCAGAACTAAGATTAAAGTTGATAGAAGAATTTCATGAATCACCCCAACGGGGCTGCCATTCAGGAGTAAAAGCTAACTTGAAAGGATGTCAATTGGTTTTTGTTGAAAGGGATCGGAGAGGGATATTTGAATTCATACGGGGATAGCTGCACTTGTCAGACCAGATTTAGCAGTTTACTATGGTTGCTACAGCCTGTACCCAGTCTGGAAATCTCATGGCCAGATCTATATGGATTTTATGGAAAAATTTTCTTGTCTCCATGTATAAATCATTTTGTGAATCAAACCAAAATCTGTTATACTGAACTGGTACGTAAAAAATTGTGGCCTATCCTATTAAATCATCTCCACTTTCTTCTCTACCATAATCGTCTACCTGTTTCTCTCTTTTATCTCCTCTTTGTTTAAGGTCTCTCTTCCCCTATATTCTTTTTCTAGAGCAACTACAAGTAACACAATTTTGTCACTAGTGGTATATTTGATCAAATGAATAAAAGTTGACCACTAGGAATTTGCTAATAACAAGTTGTCACCTCACCCTAAAAAACAATCAAAATAATTTCTAATATAGCTTTTTTTTTTTTTCTAAATGGCTTATGTAAGATAAAAGTATATGAAGATACTAAAATTACATAAACATTATTAAAATATTTTCCGGTAGTAAATACATTCTATCTTTTAACTTATTTTACTTCGTCATAACTTATGGATAATATTGTCTTCAACTTCCTTGCACGTTTTGTATTAATGTGACTATCTTCTTATGTCATATGAATCCAGGTACTGGCATCTTTTTTGTTAAAAACTCTTATTAGCCAGGTTCCATATGTTTGACTGCATAACTAATTGTTATGTGCCACATGGCTACTAAAAATGATTTACACATGATTGGTAGAATGGGTGACACATGGCTGGTAGAACAAAACTAGTTTTGTTTTGTTTATCTAGCTATCTAGTGTTATTTAATGATATAAGTAATTATTGGGATAAGCTGGAAGGTAGTTTCTATAACATGTGGGGTAAGTGTGTTAATGGTTTCTAGATGTGGAAAAGTTTTTTTTTTTTTTGGAAATATGATGTGAAAGAGTTACTGAGATTGTTTCAAGGATGTTGATTGTTACTTCAAACTAGGGACCTTACTATTCTTATCAATTTTATTTTATGTATAAAGAGAATTATGATATGGATTAGACATGCAAAGAAATTTATCAAACAATTTTCTTGAGTACTTTAAACTCTAAGATTGCAGGGTTCTCTAATAACGAGTTCATACTATCAACTAAATTTCATAACCAGATCTTAAGAATGACAATGACAAATTGGTATCACAGCCAATAGTTATGGATGATTTTTGTTCAATGTTTGCATTCTTCTCAAAACTTGCTAAGAAGATCGAGATCAATACCATGTGAAGCTCGATCTACTGGCAAGTTGCTCGGATGAAGTTTCCAGAGAACTTCTGGCTAGTAGAAGTTCACCAAGTGAATAGGGAGAAAACAATGTCCGTCCTGGTCACCAAGAGCATTACATTGGTAATCCTCATGCAGAAAAAAGGAGAGTTTTCATTCATAAGTAAACCAAATTTGATTCTCTCAATAAGAAAAATGATAGGGCTGCTAGAGAGTCTAAGACCAGGAAATGACCAACCAGACAAATAACTGTGCTCTGTTTTTACATCAAGTAAGAATTATGATCCAAATGATAGTGGTGTGAATCTGATGCAGACTTCACCAGAAGTCCGCACTCTAGAAAGAGAAGAAGAAGAAGAACGGGGAGAGAAATCAAAGGAGCAAAAGAAAACACAATTTAGACCCCTTGTTAGAGTGTCTCTATGAGAAAAGAGAAGATCAGTCCTGGCAAGAGCCTTACAATTTACATCAGATGGTAAGTCTGAACTCTTTTTGGTTCAATAAGTCAACTCACTTTTAATCATTTCCTTACGGAAAACAGTTACCATGGGCTGAAAAAGGGGAACACAGAGTGAAGAATTAGTTACTGGCAAATCAACATGTCTTGCTTCCAGCATTGATTGGCAAACAATTGTCTAGGATGATGCAACAAGGCGGACTATTTTCCAATAATGAATTTCTGGTTTTTAGTTGAGTTGAAAAGTATCCTTCCTTACTTTGATTTTTACAATTGTACATGATTTCTGCAGTCAATACCAATTTGTTTTAATAACATATCGATTTAGAATTGGAAGAAAAAAATTATTTATTGAAAATAAAAGGATTTGCTTTCTATAAAAGAAAAAGATTTGTTACTTGTTCTTGCTTGCCTCTCTACTAGATTCTGTAATTCCCTACTGCTATTGCACTTTTTTGTTGCACATCTAGTTGGGATGCTTGAGGGACACACCTTTTTTAGGAAGGATGTACTGTTCCGTCACATGGTTACTGGAAATGATAGACACATGGTTGCTAGAGTGGTTGACATGTAGCTGCTAGAGTAGGTGACACATGACTGCTAGAACCAAATTGTTCTATTTTATTCATCTAGTTATTTAGTCTTATTCATTTTATAAATAGTTATTCGGATGAGTGTGAAGGTGAAGGTAATTTCTTTAATATGCGAGATGGTGGTGTTAGTAGTTTCTAGAATGAAGGACACTTACTCAGGTGGTTTTTAGTATGTGAGGTAGTTACTTCCAAACTTGGGAAGTTAATGTTCTCTATTAGCTAGCTCATACCATCAACTAAATTTCATAACTAGATCTTAAGAATGACCATGACAAATTGGCATCCGAGCCAATATTTGTAGATAATTTATGTTTGATGTTTTCATCTTTCTCAATACTTACCAAGAAGATCGAGGTCAATACCATATGAAGCTCGACCTGTTGGCAAGTTGCTCGGATGAAGTTTCCATCGAACTTCTGGCTAGTAGACATGCACCAAGCAAATGGGGAGAAAACAATGCCCGTCTTGTCACCAAGAACATTACGTTGGTAGTCCTCATGCACAAAAAGGGAGAGTTTTCATTCGTAAGTAAACCAAATAAGATTTTCTCGATAAGAAACATGATAGGGCTGCTATGGAGTCTAAGACCGGGAAATGACCAACCAGAGAAATAACTTGCTCTTGGATCTCAAGTAAGAAACATGATCCAAGTGATGGTGGCGTGAATCTGATGCAGACTTCAATAGAAGTGTGCACTCTAGAAAGAGAAGAAGAAGAGGGGAGAGAAATCAGAGGAGCCAAAGAAAACACAATTTAGATCCCTTGGCAGTGCTATGCATCTCTATGAGAGAAGAGAAGATCAGTGCTGGCAAGAGCCTTACGATTTACATCATATGGTAAGTCTGGATTCTTTTCAGTTCAATAAGTCCACTCACTTTTAATCATTTCTTTATGGAAAACAGTTATCATGGAAAAAGGGGAACACAGAGTGAAGAATTAGTCACTGGCAAAACATGTCTTACTTCCAGCATTTTATTGGCAAACAATTGTCTAGGAGAATGCAACTAGGCAGACTTTTTGCCAATAATGAATTTCTGGTTTTCATTGAGTTGAAAAGTATCCGACTTCTTAAATTTTTACGATTGCACATGATTTATGTGGTCAATACCAATATGTTTTCACAATATACAGATCTAGAATCAGAGAGAAGAATTATTTATTGAAAATAAAGTGGAAAAGATTGTTATTTGCACCTGCTTGCCTCTCTTCTAGATTCCGTAATTCCTTATTGCTATTGCACTTTTTGGTTGCACATCTAGTTGGGATGCTTAAGGACAAACACCTTTTTGAGGGAGGATGTGTTGTTACATCACATGGTTACTGGAAATGATTGACACATGGTTGCTAGAGTAGGTGACACGTAGCTGCTAGAGTAGGTGACACCGACTGCTAGAACCAAATTGTTTTTATTTTATTTATCTAGTTATTTAGTTTTATTTAGTGCCTAAGTAGTTATTGGGATAAGTGTGAAGGTAGTTTCTGTAATATGCTAGACAATGTGTTAGTAGTTTCTAGGATGGACAGGTACTTAGGTGGTTTTTAGTATGTGAGGTAGTTACTTCCAAACTGGGTAACTTATTGTTGTTAAAAGTTCTGAAATACTTTGCAACTCTAGGAGATCATCGAATTCTCTCTTAAAGAAGACCCATACTATTAATAAACTCTCATAACTATATCCTAAAAAAAGACTATAACAATGAGTCATATAGATAGATGCATACTTATACTAGACAATCTCAGATGAGTTGGAGCAACCTGTCGTATGAGGTAGTTGATAGAGTCGTCCTAGTTTATAAATCTGTTTAGTTTGTTATGTTATTGGGCCAACTTTTTTCATCTTTTTCTTTAGCTATTATGTAATTGATCAGGTTGGCTGGAGATGTTGCATCGTGTGGCTGGTTAGTCTTAACATTGTTATGAGAATCGCTGTTCTGATTCAGGGGAAAATCTATGATGCCTATGCAATAACTTATTATCTTGCTATAATTTTATAGTTTCTGTGCAAAATAAGTGTTTATAACAAAGATGCTGAATTATCATCAAATGTTAGAATACTATCTTTGAGGCACCATACTAGAACCTGCTACCTCTATCTATGATGCCTATGCAATAACTTATCGTCTTGCTAATAATTTTATAGTTTCTGCACAAAATAAGTGTTTAAAAAAAAGAAACTGAATTATCATCAAATGTTAGAATACTATCTTTGAAGCACCATACTAGAACCTGCTACCCCACTGCCATTTCATTTTTCTTATTTATTTCTGGTGCCTTCCGCAGATACTTGATGGTAGGCTTATCTTCGTTGAAGTTGCCGAAACGTCCAGGTAAGATGCTAGTTCTAGAGAACAAGAACTGCATGCGGGGACTTGTGCGGCCGGCATTAGTTGATTAATCAAAAATTTGTAATATTATATTAAGCTTGGATGTAAAATACTTATCCAAATGATAGCACTAAATAAATATATGTTCTATTACAAGTTATTTGAAATATTGTACTTGCTAGTCTTTGTGGGCCTTTAACATGGGAGCACCTTCCTACAGCAAAATGTTGATATAACTGTTGGTTTTTGAATAAATCTATCTTCATAGTTTTTCCGAGGTGCTAAAGTTCAAGTAACTTTTCATTTAGGAATTCAGGTAAGGAATAAATACCACCCAAAAATTTTGAACAGAATCTTCCTTGGTCGGTGTTTTTGTTATGCAATACAAGATTTTCTGTTTGAAGTGTTGAGTGGGAATTTCTAAGCAGCCACCTAATTTGGTACTTTTAACAACTACTCTGTTAAATCTGAATGGTATAATCATCCATCACCCAGTTGTATCTCAGGAGTAATGCACGAGATCTTCAATTCAGAAGTTAAAATGCAAAAAAAAAAAAAATATTTCCAAAAGAAAAGACAAGATAAAAATGGAAAACCAAACAACAAAAATTAAAAATGAACAAATCCTTTTACATTGACAAGAGTGAGTTGAAGCAGTTAAAAAGAAGTCAATATTATAATTTAGTCCCATGACAGAGAAACTGGACTAAGAGCACCAAAGTACTGTTTTTTTTTTTTTTGGTGGTAAAATCAAACAGCTTCCACCTCAGTCTTTCTACTCAAATCAGCCTGGAATCAGGGACAAATCTAAAGAACTGCTGATAAGCATACAATAAGTCGATCACGATATGCATATTTCTTCAAGGCCGAATTGTCACTCCCTGCCTGCTGAAAGAGTATTGAGTTCCCGTCAATCACTTTTACAAATACACACGGGAAGCAACTTCGCTACAGATTCCATTTCTTGGTACGAAACACACTCGATATAAGCCTGTCCTGGAATTGGAGTTGCAAGAAGTCCACCATGCAAACTTTGTACCTATGTAAAAGGGAGCAGCTTGTGATTCTATAAAAAAACAGATATTACTTCAAGACCTTCACCTAAAAGAATCCAGTAACTTGGGTGCAACCAGAGAATCCTACCTCGTAAATACAAGCATGAAATTTGAGATAGTCATTCACTCCAAACTGGCTTGGACAAGACTATATTGAGGACCAAAAATGTGAACTTATGAAGGAGAACCATACTAAAATAAGAGGAGATAATACTGGACTGGTTATAAAACCAAACCAAAATAATCAAAACAATACAAAATTAATGCTCAAGCTCACGCTAAGTAAAAATTAATGGGGTATGTATTGCTGACAGCTTAAGCAGATTGCCACTAATAGTTCTGGGGACTCACAACCATCATCTTGTGCATACACACATTCATTGAAGAAGGGAGACAAATTTTTAACAAAAAAATTTGCAGCCCAGCCTATTAACTTTTCAGTAGGCCTTGGGTTTGGGCAGATGGCTGCATTTTTTTTTTTTTGGAAAATTCATTTTGCTTCCTCAATGAATGTGTGCATTGATGCCCTTTCTTGATAAATGCTTGCATCGATATGGTTCTCCACTGCTGTAATGTTCCAATAGAGGCCGTTAATGTGGCAATTTACTCGAGCCGTCATTTTATAGTGTCAATCTGTTTTGAAATGTCAATAACTTTAACATATTGCTATTGTCAGTGGCAATGTGCTAGCTCACTTGGCAGGAACAGGTACCATTTAAACAGTAGTTTTTAACCGTGCATGAAATGAGAATCAACCTTTTTTACAGTCAGTAAATGAAGAAAGAAGAACAGAAATTATTTTAAGAGATTTCAGTGAGCATGCTTCCATACTAAATGATGCTGGTGGGAGAAATCCAACTATTGTAGGCTGAGTGGCCTCAACAAGAACCAGATGCTCTTGCTAACTGCATAATAGAAGTTTTCTAATTCATAAAGTCAATAATAAGCAGAGTAAGTATCAAGAAACATAATAGCATATATTACCTGGATGTTGAGATTAGCCCTTATGTGCATAGTAGACACGAACATTTCTGCCATCCAGTAACTGAAAATAACCATAATACAATATATAGATTAAAAGCCGGTTAGACAAGGAAGTGGGGCTTGGGGAGCTACCAAATGCATACCCCACCCGCAACTTTATCAGAATATCTGAAGCATACCTTACCATGCATCTCTTTTAGAGCTGTACTGGCAGCAGCTTCAGAAGTGAATCGCACAAATCCATAACCTTTTGATTTTCCTTTCACATGATCACAAATAACATTCACTGCCAAACCCATCAATGCGATAGCTTGTGTAACTTATTTTCTGCAAAGATCCCTGACTCTAAATAAATTCCAAGAAAAATAGGATCATCCTGCAAAAATTACCTTCAAGAATTTCACCATGCTGTCCAAATGCATCCCTCAAGACAGTTTCATTGGTATCATATGATAGGCCTGCTATCCAAACCACATGTTACACTTCTATCTTAGCTTTAATATTTGTTCAATTTAAGGCGCAGAGCTTGCAAACATAGTCAAAAAGAAAAAAAAACGTCAAGTTTCCATTTTGTTTTGCTTCCAAGAAAAATTAGAGAAATAAACAGGGTTCCAGATATTAGTTTTTAAATAATACTGCTGCTGAAAAATTGTTAACTATGAAATTATATGACCCATTTATCTTTTTTCTTCCCTGAACCAGCCCAATAAAATTTAACGTTCACTTAGTATAACCAAAGATTGGGAAGGCGGTTTCAGTGACAAGGATTTAGCCAACAGAATTGTGCACGTGAGGCCACCATGCTAACAGCACTAGTCAGTCAAATCAAGTTGTAAAAATAGTGCATTTAATGAGATGTATCAGCAAAACAAGGAGAAGAAGCTAAGAAGGAACTAGGATAAGGCAAGTAGCTGGAGAGCAGTTGTTCCTTTATCATAAAAATAAATTTTGTTTTGCAGTAGCAAATCGTAATAAAGAAGTTACTTTGGAATTCTGAGTTCTCTCTTGATGAGCCCATACCATTCAGATCCCATAACAAGATTGTAATTGGAGACCATAACCTTTGGTATCAAAGCCTATTAGTTTGGAATAGTTATGGTAACCCTAACAAATGTTTGGATTTC